AACAAATCAGAGTTGCAGACTGACTATTGCAGCAACTGAAGGGTCAACATCGTTGCATTTGGTTCTTGACGACGACAATAACAAGGGTGAGAGTTTTGGCCATATTTGCAAACAAATAATAGGATATTTTTTTATTTAACACAAATATATGTGATGTTTTAAATATATATATATTAAATTATTACTCCCTCAATCTCGTGAATTTGGTCTCATTTCTTTTGGATACGGAATTTAAGAAACATTGTATTAGATTTTTAAATTAATTTGATTAATTTATTTAATATTTATAATGTATTGTTTTAATTATTTTTATTTAGTGATATATTAAAATAAAAATAAAAATAATTTATTTTTTATATTGAATATTTTATATTTTAAATTAATTTTTTTAAAACTTTATTGTATCATCAGTAAAACAATAATAATATAAAAAATTAATTTTATTAATAAAAATATAATTAAATAATAAAATATAATGTGACTATAAAATTTTTAATTTTAATAATATTTTTCATAAAATTATTCCAAAAGTAAATACGAAAATTAAAACTTAAAACTTAATTTAGTTATTGATAGTGATAAATATAATAGATAAGTTATAAATTTGTTTATTCTCACAAAATATTAATTACAGTTCTTAATAATATTCTCACTCTGTCAAATTTACTCTCATATTTTTGTAATATATGCAAAAGAATTAGGTCAAATTTACAGGACGAGAGAATCATACATTATTTTTTCTTACAAAATATAATACAATTAAATATTTTAATAATATTTTACAATTCTCAATAACAAATAATAATAATTCTAAACCCTAAAAAGTATGCAACTTTTGTGTTTTTTTCTTTTTTTATTTTGAACGAAATAAAATATAAATTCTAATACAAAATATTAAATCAAACACCCTAATAAAAAATATTTGATATGCTTGATTAATATTATTAAAATATATATATATCCAATATATACACATCAACATAATCTATATACTCTACAAGCTTATCAAAATTTAACAATTTAACAAAAAATTATTTTTTATTTTATCAACACACTTCTAATAGCTAAAATAAAAATATATATATATAATATCTCAAATTAAAAATACAAACAAATATTCTCTTCGTCCAACCTTAATGTATACGTCTTTCCATTTTCATCTCGGTTAACATATACATTTCTTTTATTAGTAATTATGGACCTCATTTTTTTGTTTTAAATACTTTTATTTTACTATCATGTTACTTTTATCAATAAAAACAAAGACAATTATCTTTATATTATTTTTAACTACTCACGAAAATTAAAATATTATTATATTATTTTTAAATTTCACACCAAAATTAAACATACATTATTATTAAAAATATCACATCAATATTTATTTATATCATATCAAAATATAAACTTTTATTATTCCAAAATTTAAACTCAATTCTCAAATATATAACCAAATAAATTCTAAAGAAAAACATATTAAATAATTTAATAGGATATAGGTAAGTATGTGATTTAAATTATTATTTGTTAATTATTGATTTATTAGAAAATATGACAAATTTGGTTGACCGCTAAAAACAATGGATCAATTTCGCGGGACGGAGGAAATATAAAATTAATAGTGAAAATAAGGAGGGAAAACACAACCAAACAAGTCCATGCTTGTTTGTGTTTTCGATGATTCGGAATGTTTGTAGATTTGTAATTTTTAATCTAAATATATTGTTTTATCTTATATAAATATCAAAATATTTTGAGCTTAAAAAAAGTTCACATTTTATTTTGAAGCAGCACAATTTTCGTAAATATAATTTAAAAATATTATATATGCATACATTAACGTAATATAATTGTTACGTACAAAAAATAATAGTAATAATAATAATAATGGTAGCAGGATTTTAAAGGAAGTTAGGACACGAAGTCGGGCGGAAAAGGAGAAAATATGCACTCAGGTCGATTGGTCCGCGGTCGGTTGATCCGGTCGGTTGGTCCGCAGTCGGATAAGTAGGTCAGAAGGTCCGCAGCTGGACAGGCAGGTCGGTTGGTCCTCGATCGGATAGGCAGGTCAGAAAGTCCGTGGTCGGATAGGCAGGTCGGAAGGTCTACGGTCGGATAGGCAGGTCGGATGGTCTGCAGTCGGATCGGATGGTTTGCAGTCGGTTGGTTCGCAGTCGGTTGGTCCGTCATCGGTTGAGTCGGCCAATACGGAGTTTGGACCAAGCGAAGGTCTGTTAATTAGTCGCCTAATTAAATAAACAGTAGTTCAGTCGCTTGGTTGGAGCGACCATTGAATCGCCTGGAAAGACCAGAGGGTGGTCACTTGATGGGGCGACCAAGGAGTCGTTTGGTCTAGCGACCAGTTAGTCTTTGGATTGGTCGGTTGGGTTATGCGGTTGGCGAGACGGTTGCCGTAATCGACCAGACGACGTTTCAAAACGTTTCGTTGTGGGCGGTTGACGGCGATTGTTGGCGACGGTTCTGAAACATTTTCTTGAAAGAATATTTAAGGATTTGGATTTTTTATCTTCAATCATCTTCAAACAACAACAAAGTGATTCGAGGATCATCATTTAATTTTCAATATGTAGTTTTATTTTCCAGTTTACTTGTGTACCGTACAGTGTTTAGGGATTCCTAATCTCAAGCACTAATTATATCAAATTCGAAAATAATTTCCTATTTTTGGAAATTTACTTTTTATTGTTAAAAATTGGCATCAACAATAATATATATTATCTCACAAAAATTATTTTTAAATATAAAAATATTATTTTTTTACACTACCGATATAATTTTTTATACTTAAAAAAAAAAAATTTATCAAAAAACTCTTAGTGAACAAACACATTCATTTTCTTTGACCTATAAAGACAAAATATTATCTAATATATTTTTATTCACAAATAAAATATTAAAATGTTACTTCATTCATCCGTGATATTTAGTTACACTCACCAATAAAATACCGGACAAGGGGGTATTATTTTTTAATTTACTGAAAAAAAAAAATTGATATATTATATTGAAACTAAAATACTAGTATATTGTAAAATATGACAAATTATATATATATATTATCAAATTTAAATAGAATGTATTTAGTCTTTTGTATTTTGTATTTTGATTTTGATTTTGATTTTGATTTTGACTTGAAATAATTATTTGATATGATATAAATATGTATTGATATATATTTTAAATGTAAAAATTAATTTTAGTATAATATAATAAATAAAAAAAGAATAGATATTTAATTTGATTTTTTAGAAAAATAATAATTAAATCAAAATTAAATATACTAATATACACACTCTATTTGTGTGTTCTTTTTGCCAAAACAAATTAATACATTTTTTCAAGAAAAAGATATTAATATTTTATGACTCATTATTTTTATAATACTTACGAAATTTTCTATAACTTACATAAAAAAAATATATCGCTTCAAATAATTTCACAAAATTAAGACACCCTAAGAAATATAATTATTAAATAATTAAGAATGTCAATGCTACTGTGGTCACATAAATTTTAAAAATATATATAATTAATAAAATAATTGAGAAATATATTAGTAAAAATAATTATTATAGCATATAAATAATTATAGATTAAGGATAAAATAACTAAATAATTTAATTAAAATTTTAAAAAATATAAATTTTAAAATTTAAAATAAAATTAAAATATATAATTACTTTTCAAAATAGAACGAACAAATTATATGAACAGACCGAAAAAGAAAAAACAAACGTTTTATGTGAAATAGATTACAAATGAAGTAATAATTATGAATAATAAAAATAGTAAAATGTGTTCATCCTCCTAGTGCAATTAGTTCATTTGGTTCTTATACGAAAATTAAGAAAAATGAATATTTTTATTGAGAAAATTGTAAAAATAAAAAATAACTGAGGTTATTTTTAAAATTTTAGTTAGGAATTTAAATAAATAAAAAAAATATAATAAAAATTTCGGTATTTATTGTAAAAAATATTGAATAAAAAATAATATTTTTGTTCCACCTAATTTGTTTATTTTTTCTTTTTATTTCGGTGTCCACATAATTTGTCCTATATTTTTTAAATATAATTATATAATTTAATCATATTTTAAAATCATAATTTATAATTTTTTATTTTAATTAAATTATTTAATTATTATAGTTTTAATCTTTAATTATTTTTATTATTTTATAATTATTTTTATTAATGCATTTTTTAATTCGTCTCACCTAAACCGGACATATTAGTCCAAATTAAGGGAATAATTAGATATTTATTCAAAATTAATATGTTTCTTTACTCTAATTTTTTTAAATTATACTATTTGATTCTGCATTTTCGAAAAAAATATATATTTTTCCCTCGTAAAATATCAAATCAAATATTATTTTAATATCAAATTTAAAACCAAAATTTTTCAAATTCAACAAAAAGAAACATACAGCACCCTAGACATTGATTCAAAATTAATACTCCCTTTGTCCGAATATAATAGTCTTGTTTATCCTTTTTGTCCGTCCCAAAACAATAGTCTTATTTCTATAAATAACTATATCACTCTAAAACTTTCCCTAATTTTTTATTTTTATTACACAATTACTATTAATTTTTAGACTAATACACTCACAAGAGTAAAATAATTTTTTATTTATATTTTTTACCAACTATCAATATAATATTAATATAATATCAATATTCTTTAAATTCACTATGAGTAAATTTAAGATTAAAAAGCAAAAAGTGAAATAAATTCGAGAAAGTACTATCTCAAGTCTGACCGGCCCGTGCAGGTGCAGCGCACGTGTCGGCAACACCAGCATGAAGTGGCTACAGTCTCGACAAGAAGCTGAGCCGGAACACCAGTTCGGTGCGTACTGACAGTACAGCACAAGGTACTACAACTCGAAGCTGGCCCCACTTAACACTGACTTTCTGGCTGGGGATCTCATGATCACATCCCCTCCCCTAAACGGCGCCGTTTTCACCTCTCTGAGTCCGTTATATCCACTTTGGTTTCATCGAATCAAATCAATCGCGGACGCCCAGCTGCTGCTGTTGCATCTTCTCCACTCTTCTGGCCTCTCCTCCGGCGGATCCCGCAATCTCCCCCAATGGCGTCGTCCTTCGGATCGGCGGCCGCCTCCGTCACGGAGAATGCTCACAAATCGTCCAATTATCTGCCGCTTTGCCACCGCCATTTCTTACTTCGCTCCAGTTCCAACAAGGTTTCGTTCCGCCTTGCTAGTAGGCCTAAACTCCGCTTCTCATCCAAGGTACAGATCAAATGTTTGTGATTTTTTGGTTTTTGTCCAATTGCGCGTCCGTTTTGGAGATTGGTTTGCTTAAATTTATTTTTCTCGAAATTGATGTGAGATCGACCTCTGTTTGAATGTGTTCGTGCTCATATGTAGCTGTGATAGATGTAGGAGTGTGCTTGTTCCTGCGCAGATGCTATTTTTCTGTTCCAATCATGTGATTTTGATTCCCGAGCTTGTTGGAGGTCAGCAGTACTGAACAGATTTCGTGTTTTTGGCGAAGGAAAAGAACTAAGCAAAACGTTGCAAGTGTTTCTTCAGTTCTTAATTATTTTTCGGGGAGAGATGGAGATAAATGTATATGTGGTCCGATTGCCGATTGCTTCTGTGCAATTTAGATTTCAGTAATTTGTAAACTTATTAAAATGCAGAAGTTTACAAAGTTTTTTGCTTTGATCAGTTTTCTAGATTGGCATCTTTCCATTGTTACTGTTTTTTCTGATGCAGATTTACCTCTCTCAGGGCTTTCAATCTGGTTGGAACAGTTCGGCAGTGGTAAAAGCTCAATTGAATCAGGTAGAAAACTTTCCCATGTCTCCTTTCGGATATGTGTTTGGGGAAATGCTTATACAGCAGTGTCTTGTTTTTAAGGTTGCTGCAAATGAATCATCAAAGGCTGCAGCTTCAGCTCCTACCGAATCGGAAGCATCAAAGGCCCAAGTAAAGGATGTGAAGTTGGCATCAGAAGAATCAATATCTGAATTTATTACACAAGTTTCGAGTCTTGTCAAGTATGCTTTCTCGATTATATGATCCTTTTACGTGCATCTTCAATTTGAAATGAACTTACCTCTGCTGTACTTTTCTCAGGTTGGTTGATTCCAAAGATATTGTGGAGCTGCAGTTGAAACAACTTGACTGTGAAATCTTAATACGAAAAAAAGAGGCCTTAACTCCATCTCCACCTCCTCCCGCTGCATATGCCCAATCTCTACCTCAGCCTGCAGCACTGCCTCCAGTTTCACAACCATTTTCGGCGCCAACTGCTGCACCTTCTCCATCACCTACTCCGGCTCCTTCTGCAGCTCCTTCTCCACCCAAAGCTCCACAATCTAGCTCATCTCATCCCTCTCTTAAATGTCCGATGGCGGGAACATTCTACAGAAGTCCAGGACCTGGAGAACCACCTTTTGTTAAGGTAATGGACATATTTGGAAATTAAGATTTTGGGCTAGCTGGCACAATAATATGATAATTTGTTTGCTCCAAAAAGTTTCATTAAATCTTAGTTACGACTATGCCTTATTGGAAGAACAAATAATATACTAGAGACTTGATAAAACAATAAATGAAGATGCTCGTTCATTCTGCATCCAATTTGATATACTGCCTTCTCACTACCTTGTGTGCATGTATACGGCACTTTTTGCAGGTTGGAGATAAAGTAAAGAAGGGTCAGGTTCTATGCATTATTGAGGCGATGAAATTGATGAATGAGATTGAAGTAAGCAATTTCATGCAATTATTCTTAATTACTTGTTTTTGTATCAGAACTTGAGCTCCTTAGTTAAGAATAATTAATTGACGACTCTTTGCCTCCTGAGATGTACATAAAACTGACACCTATATATCTCTGCAGGCTGATCAGTCTGGAACAATTGTCGAGATCCTTGTAGATGATGGCAAATCTGTCAGTGTCGACATGGTGAGTTTCTGGACAGATCTCTGCCAAACCTATTCACCTACCTCATTAGAATGTCATTTTAACTATATTGTTGTGGTGCAGCCTCTCTTTGTGATCGAACCATAGATGATCAGATGAAGCCAAAAAGGTGCTCAGGAGTAGAATGCTTTTCACCTTAGAGATGTCGTGAGTTGCAAATTTTTATTACTTTCCCTTGATATGGTTTTCCGTGGATGAGATCTACTTAGAACTCGAAACAGAATCGGCTTCTGTTGGTATATTTTCCTGATCAAATCCCGAGTATGCTGGAGTTGTTTTTTATTTATGGCTACGGATGCTAGTTAGTGTGCTTAATTTCTTAACTGTGCTTTATACATCATGTGGCATTTATAGTTTATAGATAATTCCCTGTGTAATTGGAAGTTTTGTTGGTATTGTTTTAAAATGTTTTGGACCAACCTGAACGTTTGTCCTACTTTTTTAGTTGGAATCATTTAGTAGGGCTGACTGGACAGTAGAAACTGCAAGAATACTTCAAAAATATGATATCCTAAAAGCACATTTGTTAGTGGAATATGACTAACTTGAGTTATCATTATTATTTGTCTTCATTCGATCTAATTGAGATATATTGTGTAATATGATACATGCTTTAATTATCTTACTAATTAAATTGATATCCCAAATATAACGATGCATGTATGAATGGAATATAGCTACCAAAAATGGAGTGCACATTAGAATGGAGGTATGGATGAATATGATTGAGGTAGGGGCATAAATGTATTGAGAATAGAGCAAATTTACATAGCTTGTTGGCTGTAATTTTAGGACCACTTGGTTGCTCTGTTGGAAGGCTAAGTTCTAAGGGCGGTGAAGACGGCTAAGGTCACCACTTCCGGCAGATAAGTTTTGTTTGTTTGTTGTGTGTGTGTTTATTGTTTTTACATTTTGTCCTAATTAGGAGAATTGTTACTTTGTTAGCAATTTTAGGTGTAAGCCTAAACTTTTAGGAGTCAACTATATGTGCTATGTTGTTAGCCATAACATTCGGCTCCAAGCCAACCCTGACTCGAGAGTGGGGAACCCTATTTTACATACACTATATATATATATATATATATGTTAGATGAGACTACGGGCTGAGCTGCGATAGGCTATTTTTGGGTTGAAGATCTTTATCCCTTCGGTTTAGTATGGGAAGCAAAGGAAGCTATGAAGTAATTTGGCCTTTTTTAGATAGAAGTTTTGAAAGTTTGAAAAAAAAAAAAATTGAAAATAGTAAAAATTTAGTATTTGACGATGACTATAATAAAAAGTTGAAAATTACCCAGCCGAAAAAGGCCCCTATGCTACCTTTATTAAAAAAGGTATTAGGTTGTTATTCGTTCTTTATTTGAAACTAACATGTGTCCGTTGGGTAGTTTTGTCGAAAAACTGTTTTGTTGGCAACTCAATCGATGGGCCTCGAGGCTGTGCATTGTTGGATGACAAACAGTTTGTTTACTTCGTGTTTGGTTTTGGTTTGAACAATAGTTTTGCCGGAATACTACGTGAGATAAAATAATATACTTTTATACGGATTGTGAAAAGTATGGTAAAAAGAAAAAAATTGAAATTAAACCCTTAAGTAAACATGATACAACTACAAGTTGATGACCATCCGTGCAATTTGTAATACCATATATGGTTTATTGATTGATTATATTATATACTTCCTCGGACCCGAAAGAGAGTTGTGTTTGGCATAAAATTTAAAGAATAGTCAGTAGAAAGTATGGATAAAGAGTTTTTTGTCCACATTTTTGTCGTAATAATAAAAAAAAAATTAGTTTTATGGTGATATAATTATTTATGAAAATAATACTATTGTTTTTGAGACAGTCAGAAATGGTAAAATGAGATTATTAATTGAGGCGGAGGGAGTATAATTTATTGATTATGTGTGTTTGTTTGGGGGATTGAATTAGATTTTCACTGTTCATCCTATTTTTTCCCCCCAAAAAATCAAATTAAACAAGTATAAATTTTACATTCAAAACATCACATCAACACCTATTTATATCATATCATACAATTATTCAAATTCAAAATTTTTACTATTCAAATCCCAACTCAAAATCCAAATCCACAGACAAACACAATGTTTTTATTGTTTTTCCTTAATATTTATTGGTTTAGTTGTTTTGATAATGATTGTTTTGTGGAGAGAAATGGATGTTTTGTTTATGAGAAATAGTGAAAATTGAATAGTAGTAGTAATTTTTTAAATAAAATAAAATAAAATAAATTCCAAAGGATCAATCCCAATGGATTGTGCATAATATAAAAGTGCTGAATTTTGAATACAATTATCTGTGGTTATGTTTTAATGATGATGAGATATTCTAAAGATTTTATAAAAAAATTTATTAAACAAAATATTATTATTATTTTTAAAATAATTTATAAAACTATTTCATATGAAAAGGGAGAAATTTGATATTTAAAAAAATAAAAAATATCAATCTTATACTACTTAGAAATAATGGCAAAACATGGATAGTGTTCAGGTAAGTTTTAGATCTTGTCATGTGAATATGCATCTATAGAGCTGTAAACGAACCAAATTTGTCATATTTGAGCTCGGCTCGTTAAGGACTCGAGCTCAGTTCGTATTCGTTCGTTAGAATATACGAGTTGAAATTTTTGTTTGAGCTCGGCTCATTTAACAATTTTTTTGTTCGTGTTCGGCTCGACTCGACTCATTAAGAGAAATTTTATTTTATTTATTTAATATTTTTTTAAAAAAATTAAATTTAGTTAATAATAATTATAATTTTTATTAATAAATTTGAATAAAAAAATAGAATGAAATATAATATTTATAAAGATATATATACTTGTTTAATATAAAATTATTAATTTAATTTTTTTAATAAATACTATCGAACATTCGCGAACAAGCTCGAGCTCGTTCGTGAACATAACGAGCCAAAATTTATGTTCATATTTAGCTCGTTTAGCTTAACGAACAAGCTTTTAGCAAATTCAAACGAACTGAGCTCGTATTTGTTCACTTATTTTACAGCTCTATGCATCTAAAAGCTATTCAAAGTGATTATTAGGAAGAATCTTATTCAGGTTTAGGACATGATTCAGTCGGTGCGTGTAATGTATGCATGTATTATTATTATTATTATTATTATTATTATTATTATTATTATTGTTATTGAATAAAAAATTGATTTGTTATATACGATATTTTATGCTAAAATTTTAGTATTTCTATAGAGAATTAGAGATCTGTGTAGTAAAATTATTAAAAATAATAATCATAAAAATAAAAGAAAACATAATCTTTAATCTTTAATCAATAAATTTGAGAAAATTTGCCCATTTTTTTATTTAAATACTTTCTAATTTAATACTCTCTCACTTTCATAAATACTACAATTCTATTTGTGCTCATTCCTAATATTATATTGATATTTTGTAAAAAATTATGATTTTTTTTTTTTTTTGGCTTGTGAATATATTGTAAAAAATAATACAATAATAATAAAAATTTATGATGATAAACGGAAGGAGTAATTCAATAAGAAAAAATAAACTATTTTTATAATAGTAAAAAAATAATTTGAAATGCAAAACAAATAAATTATTTAGGGTAACATTCCCTTGTGTTTTTAGTAAAAATGCACAAAACTCCCTTTGTTTTATTTATTGCGTGAAACCCCATTGTGTTAATGTAAAGTTTGCACGAAACACCCTTCTTGTCCAAAACTGATATTTAGTTCTAAATAAATACCTAAATTACGCAAGTTTTATACAAATAAAAAGCGCAAAATATCTTAAATAATTTTTTTGCATTAAATAAATAATTTATTAATCCTTCATTTTATAGTTTTTGGAGACAAATTATTGTCTGATTTTTATAAAAAATATAAAAATAAATTATTGATCAATTATTTATTTATTTATTTTATTCAAAAAAAATTATTTAAAATATTTTACGTTTTTTATTTTTATAAAACTTACGTAATTTAGGTCTTTATTTCGAACCAAACATCAGTTTTGGACAATAAGGATGTTTCATGCAAATATTTCATTAACACAAGGGGGGATTTACGTAATAAATACAGAATATTTTGTACATTTTTAGTAAAACATAAGGATATATTATATAATTTACTCAATTATTTATTATGGAGAAAGAGTTAAGCCTGATAGAAGCAGCCCATGTCAAAAAATGAGGCCCAAAACATTATGTCCGCGGCCTAAGAGGAATACCCTAACTCCAAAATTAGTAACAGGCCCAGTCAATGTTACAACTTATTATTATTATTTATTTTATTTATTTTTTTGGTCAATTTGTGAGTTGAAGAAGTGGGAAAGTGGAGTAAAACAAAATACAATAGTTCATCCTAAAATAATAATCTTATTTTTATAAATAATCATATCACCGTAAAATTATCTTTATTTTTTTTTTATTACACAATTGTTACTCACAAAGGCAAAAAAAAAATCTTTTATCTGTATTTTTTACCCACTACCAATATAATATCAATATTTTTTAAATCTCGTCCAACCCAATTAAAACGCACAATATACAAATATACTTCCCACCGTATTTATGCTTTTTTTTTTTTAAATATATTAATACTCCCATCATATTTATGTATTTATTTTTTGCACATAAATTTTTTAATATTAGTATTATATTGATTTGTAGTAAAATATTAAAATGCTTGTGTTATAAAAGTTATTGCATTTGTGTAATACATCGTAAGTTGTAACAATATTTATTATGCTATGTGGGTAATACAATTACTAAAAATAGTAACCTTGGGGACGGCCAAAAATAGAAAATTGTATCCTTCTTATGGGACGGAGGGAGTATTATATTGAGATGTAGTATAAATAAAAGTAAAAAAAATTAAATTAACCTTATTAATATTGTATAATATAAAGGTAATAATATTTGTGTAACATATTGTAAATTAGAAAGGTATACACAGTACAACTACTAAAAATGAAATAGATACTTTGTTATTGTTATAAGACGGATCAAAATAGAAAAATTGATAGATTGTTGAAGGACGGAAGGGAGTATAAAATAAACACAAATCCTAAGTAAACACAAGAACATAACATAAATTTTCAGCATAGAATGCCAATAACAACAATAATAATCTTGTCCCACAAGAACTTTCAGAATTAGCAAATCCTATAGAGGTTTTTGCAACAATTTCTCAACAAATCATCATATCATCAAAATTTCCAGCTACAAAAAGCATCTTTTCAAGGCTAAGATCAAACCAATTTCATAAGCTATAGAGAGGTTCGAAAATTCGACGTACCTATTGTCATCAATACTCCCACTCTAACCGGAACCGAATCTTTCGCTTACCCTTTCGACCTTCGCCATGTTCCAACAAAGTCCTCCAAGCCAAAGGCTGCCATTCATCCAAACCATCGTCGAAAATCTCGACTTCCGTTTCCCTAATCAAACTCCTCTCAGAATACCCATAAGAAACACTTCCTTTATCTTGCAACAATCTCTTGAACAGAAACTTAACCCATTTGTTGTTTGCTTTCTCCTCCCCACACGGATCGGGAAACCAATATTGCGTCACAAACCTCGGGTGACAGCTCACGAACAATGTTTCAAGAAGAAAGTCGTACCCGAAGAACGGGGACGGCACAGACAATGTCAGATTATCCAACTTAGGCTTAGTCCAACCCGAACAAGATGCTCTACGATCAACGCCGTTGTGACCAAAAAACACAATGCTGAGAGACACTTTGCACATTGATGCACTCAGTTTTCTTGAAAGATCAGTGAGCTTATGGAACCACGATTCGTTGAGCTTATGGTGTAGATACTTCAACGATATATCGCACTCCCATTCCTTCGAAACCGCAGTCAAAAGCAGCAATGGAGAGCACGACCCTGCGAAGACGAACCTACGGATATTCGGGATAGTAAAATTGACCTTGATGATCCTATTATCCTCAATTGTTAACCACTTTAGGTTAGTGCTTGAAATCTCTAACTGTTTGTAGCCATGGCAGCACAAAAGTGTCAAATCCTCTAAGCATGGAAATGCATCTTTGAATAAATCACCATCCATGGATATATACTCCAATCGAATCGATTTCAGTATCGAAAACTCGACTCTTCCACCTACAGGTCGATTGATTTTACAGCCTAACACAGACAAACTTTGAAGTTTTTCGGTTGCGAGCAACTCGGAAGGTAAAACGTAGCACGAACTCATGAATTCGAACTTGCAATCAGCTCCATTAACGCATAATCGAAGAATTTTCTTAATCAATTCAGTAGATACTATTGATTCATCCGATGTGCAGTGAAGGTAACGAGAGAAGAGGCGTATGTTGAAGCCGTTAATATTCAGGTCAGATTCTTCGTACCTTTTCATTGTCTTTTTCACGAATTCCACGAAGCGTAAGGATCGATACTCGTCGAAACATCGTTGATTGAAATAGAGGTTGGGGCGAGTTAACCAGGCGACGTACCATGACTTGGAGATGACGCTGGTGCGGGCGGCTTGCCTTCCGCCGAGGAACGATTGAATGTGTTGAATCGCCGGCACCGGCAGCTGATTTCCCCGCTCACCGTCGTCGATTTCTCGGCGGCGCTTCTCCTCCATCGGAAACCCTAACAGAGAGAAATGGGCAAAAATGGCAGAGAGTTTGCGGGAGAAGGTGGGAAATCGGAGCAGTTGTTTGCAGCATCTTTAAACGCCCCTTCGATTTAGCGGTATTGTCTAAATGGTCCTTGGGTTTTCATCATTATTTCTAAAACCCATGGACGTGTTTACTGTTGTTTTTATTTTATTTTATTTTTTAAATAATAATATAATACAATAAAATTTAGATTTTAAAGAGTATAGATGTATTCAAGATTCTACTTATGGCGAGTTTGGAAATTAACTGTTAGTGGTTAGTTGATTCAATTAGCTGATAGTTGTTAGTTAATTTTGTATTAAAATGTTTGGTAAAATAACTGTTTGATATTAATTGTTTATACGTAAAATGACAATTGAGGACATTTTTATTTTTTTTGTTTCTAATATATTCAATTATGTTCTTTTGAATTTAGAATGTTTAAAAAATTTTTTGTTATTAGTTATTGAAAATTGTAAAAGTGTTATAAAAGTATTTATTTTTATTACAGTTAGATTTAAAAAAATAATATATTATTATTAAAATATATAAATAGTTTTTTTTATTGAAAATGATGTAAAATATAAAATAATAAATTTTTCGTGTATATATTTATTATGTTAGTTATCAATTAATTCATTGTATTTATAACTTTCAATAAATTTAATTAATATAATTTATTTTTAGTATAAAATTTATATAAAGTAATTTTAATAAAAATAAATTATTAATGTTTATATTTTCTATTTTATGTTGATTTTAATAAATTTATATATTTTACAATTAAAATAATTTTTATATAAAAATTAATTATTTTAAATTTATAAAAGTAAAACTATAATATAATAAAATATTCTAATATAATTAATAATCAAAATATATTTATTTGTGTAAAATGCATAATAAATTTTTAAGGGCGTATAAGGAATAAAAAAATTTACAGAAAAAGCTATTTCAAAAAAGTTGGGTAAGTTAGCTTTTCAGAAATTAGCTTTTTTTGTCCAAAAAGCTATTCCAAAAAGCTAATTTACCAAACACCTAAATTAGTTTTTTGACTGGTCGAACAGCTAAAAGTTGTACAATAAGCTAAAAGCTCTTCAAAAAGCTATTTGCGAAACAAATCTTAATATATTTGGACAATATATACTCGGATTTTATTTGCCATGTACCCGTCAAATATGTTGAAATAAAAAAATTTCAATACAAGTTTAACTCAACGGAATTATGTAAAAAAGTATCTACTTATTTAAAAAAATAAATTAAAAATATATATACAACAAATATAAATCTTTATCCGCTTTGACGCCTCTGCTATCGCCGCCACCACCATCCCCACTAAAAATAAAAATGAAAATAAAAAATAGAAATAGAAAAAATAATAAAATTTATTATTTTAATTAATCGAGTTTGTGTCCAAGTTAGGTAGAGTTTGCTATTAAACTATGGACATGTCCCTATCCTAAAAAATTTATTAAAGACTCTGATTCATACGTGATCCAATATACAAACAATTGGACCCGACCCCAAATAAATGGGTAGGGTCCGGGTCGGATCTCGGGCTGCTCTTGCCCATTGCCATTCTTATTTATTTGTAAGTTTTGTTTTGAATTTTGATTTTAAATATTAAAATTTTAAATTAAAATAATACTCCCCCCGTCCCACATACAGTGTCTGCTACACTGTAGACACGGTATTTTAGGAGGGGTGTAATTAGTAGATAATTAAAAATGTATTAGTGAATATAATTATCGTATAATATAAATAATTATAAATTAAGATTAAGATAACTAATTAGTTTAATTAAAATTAAAAAAAATTAAAAAGTTTAAAATGAGATTAAAGTGCGTAATCATTTTCCAAAAAAGGAAACTGACATGTATGTAGAACGGATAGAAACGGCAACGTGGATATGGTATGTGGGACGGAAGAAGTAGTTATTTGTGTGATATTTTTAATATAAAAATAAAATTTAATGTAATATAATAAATAAAAAATATATGTTTAATTTGATATTTTTGAAGAAAAAAAATTAAAAATATTAAAACCACCTCCAAAACATTTATTTAAAAAATACTTTATGTGTCATCTAAATGTATATCTGTTTTTTTATAAAAAAATATTCTTATTTCATTTCGATGGTAATAGTATTTAAAATGAAATCAAATGGTCTTTTTTACGCGCATTTTTTTTCAATTATTATTATATAATTTTGATGTACTAGTATTTAAAAAAATATATATTTTTTTCATATAAAATATTTGTTCACTCAATTTATTTTAAAATTGCACAATTTTTTAAAATGGTATAAACAATACAATACATATGTTAATATACTTTCTCCGTCTCATATTAATAATACGAGTATATTACTGTAGACACGAGAATTTAGGTGAAGTGTAATTAATAAGTAATTAAAAAGTGTATTAGTAAAAATAATTATAAATTAAAATTAAGATAACTAAATAATTTAATTAAAATTTAAAAAATTATAAAATTTAATTATTAAAATGTGATTAAAGTGTATAATTATATTAAAGTGTATAATTATTAAAAAATGACAAATTATGTAGGACAGACGAAAATAAAAAAATATGGACAAATTATATGGGACGAATGGAGTAATACATATACTCCATATATTTTTACCTACAAAAATAAAAAAAATTCAACACAAAATTCTATTTTTTATATTACCAATATAAAATTTTATATCTAATATAAAAAAATACATTCATAAAAAACATAAATTAAAAATACTCTATATTTAATATCCTCAAATTAATACAATGAGTAACATATTTATATATATTTGAAAAGTCATTAGTCATCTCATTTGATGACTTGAAAACATACCTGACACCTATAAAAAAAAATATTCGCTCTGTGTTATAACAAAGTATTTATTTTTTTTATTTTAGTCCGTCGCATAATAAAGTATCCATTTATTTTTTAGTAACTGTACTATCTAGCTAATATTACAAATACCCTTACAACTTACAATATATTACACAAATGTCATTACATTTATATCACACATACTAATAAAGTTATTTAGTCATTTCCACTTTATTCCTGCTATATTCCAATATAATACTAATAGTTCTAAAATTACGTTAAAAAAAATATGTATATATATATTTAATTATGAGACGAATGAAGTATAATGAATTATAGCATATAACATAAATAAAACATTATAGTTGGGAATGAAGTCAAAATCACATTTAAATGTTGAATGAGATACTAAAAATTATATTTAAAACGTTATCAAAATATCTATATTTTTAAAATAATATTATAAAAATACAATATAATTAATGAAATAAATATTATATAAAAATTATAAAATATATGTAAAATACATTTGAAAGATTACCTAAGGACATTATTGTTTATTAAAGTTATATATATATATATGTATATATATATATTCTATCCCCTAAAATTATATCATTTTTTTTCATCAATTAAAATATATAGTATTATAATTTATAGTAATTTTATTATTTTTATTTTAACATATAATAATTATGCTATTATTATTTTTTATTTATCATATTTTTTATCAGTATTTTAAAAATTTTTTTATAACATTCCTATCTGTTTTTTATGTAATTTATTTTAATATTAAAATATTATTACTTTAGGGTGTGTTTTTTCAATTTTTTTCACATGTTTTTTTTTTTTAAATATTAATACATTACAAATATTATTAGTATTATATTTTCTATATAATTTCTTATACCTCACATAAAATAATATTCATTCAAATTATCTTACAAAACAAATACACTCTAAATTATTCCAAATTTACATCATTTTACCAAAGGAAATAATTACTATTTATCAAAATTTTATTTCTAAAAAATAATAATATAATATTTTAAGCATATATTTTTTATTTATAAGGTTATCTTAAAAAATATATTTTATTTATCATAATATTATATCAAGTATTTATATATTTCATATATAACGCTTGTTTTTATTTTTTTTCTTTGATCATTTCTAAAATATAATTTAAATAATTTTTAAAATTATAACAAGACTTTGAAATTTGTGGATTTGGTTACCAAGTTGTAGTTGAAAGTTTGATATTAAAATTGTAATACCACATGAACAAAAATTAATATTGATCTAAATTAATTTTTTTTTTATTTCATTAAAAAATAATTATCAAAATTAATATTGGTCTAAATTAATTTCTTTTGTTTCATTAAAAAAATAATTATCAAAATTAATCTTGGTCTAAATTAATTTTTTTTATTTCATTAAAAAAATAATTATCAAAATTAATATTGGTCTAAATTAATTTTTTTTATTTCATTAAAAAAATAATTATCAAAATTTATCTTATACACCCATCATTGAAATTTCAATATAATTTTAAATATACACGTCCATATTCAAAATTAAACACCACTTTTATATTTATCATTTTCATAAGTAAATTATAATACTCCATCCGTCCCAATATAATAGTTTTGTTTATCATTTTTGTCCGTTCCAAAACAATAGTCTTATTTCTATAAATAATCATATCACCGTAAAATTACCCATACATTTTCATTTTTATTGCACAATTGTCACTACTTTTTACACTAATACACTCACAAGGGCAAAAAAATCTTTTATCCTTACTTTTTACCAACTACCAATATAATATCAATATTTCTTAAGTCTCGTATTCAAGCCAATTAAGACTATATTTATGGGACGAAAGGAGTATTAAACATTTCATAATTGATATATTATAAATATTTTATGAATACTTTTGTTTGATTTCGGCTTAAAATTGATTTGAAATAGAATGTTAATTTAAATTTTTATTTAAATATTATTTTGATGTGATATTTTTGTAAAAAGAATAATATATTTTTATTAAAAATTGTACAAAATAAATAGTAATATTAATTTTAATTTGAAATCCAAAAGAACAAACCTTTATATGTATTGTATTTTATTTAGATAATATATCGATTAT